ATCCTTGGACCATATACATTGGTGCTGAGAGCTACCTTTCAGGTGATTTCAGCAGCTGATCATCAAAATGCCTTCTCTTAATGTGGGTCTCACTTGGTGGTGGTGTCTCTGTTCTAGGAAACCATAATGAATGATTGTGAATCCCATGCCTGGCTATTTAGAAGAAATGAAGACAATAAACCACATCATCATAATGATATCTTTTATAAAGACTCAAGTCTTAAAACTTCTCAATGACAGCCTACTCAGTAATGACATGAAAACTGTTCTCAGTCATGTCTTTTATGGAATTAATACTAGCCAAAGCTCATGAAGAGTTCTTCCATTGAAGGATCCTGTTTAATGACTCTGGTTTTATTAATTATACATCTCTAGCCCACTATACAAAATGGAAATATTTTATATACCTAATATCACTTTGGAGAGATTTGCATATTATAAGGCCAGATGAAAAAGCAGTATATTTAGAAGTCTGTTTAATATGATTTGATGTTTACAATATAAATAATTAAATACCCTTATATATAATTATAAACATTGTTATATAATTAAGAGCATGGTGAATAGTATGAAGCACAAGTACAAGATTTATCTAGTAGAGATGGGAAGTAGTGGAGTAAAAAGTAGATTGAGGAAGAAGAGGGGGTTGTAGGGAGTAGTAAGGAAAAAAATAAAAGAGTCTACCTTAAAAACATGTACAATAGTTCACTCATGTAAAATTGATGGATATGAGTGTGTGTTTATGTCTAAAAGAATGAGTGAAAAATTTTTTGCTATAATGTAAATGATGGTTACCTCAAGAGTAGTGGGGTTTTAGGTAACTCAAAGTATCTTTATACTTTTCTCTATAGTTTGAAAATTATTACAATGAGAATTTTTTTATTATAGAGAAAAGAGCACACTATTTTAAAAATTGTGGAATGAAAGAACCATTGTATTAAAAAATCTATCTTGAAGAGAAATAAATGTCAGTGTGTCCCTTGGAGTTAAAAAGAAAGCTAAATACTGAATTAAAAAAAGTAAGTCAAATGCACAGAGCACATTCCAGCTAATGTGATTCTGGCTCAGAGGTTACATTTTGAGTGTGAGTGCAATATTTTAAATATAAGTATAATACTTGCACTTTGAAGTCCTTTAAAGATTGATTTTTATATTTCAACATACGAACATCATGTTTCTTTATCCCTCTCTGTATCTCTTTGCATCTATCTATCTATCTATCTATCTATCTATCTATCTATCTATCTATTTATCTATCTACCTATCCATCATCTATCTATCTATCTGTATCTATTTAATTGTTTATTGAATTTTGAATTACATCTTGGAGCCATACTTATTTTGATTAAAGATGCTCATTAATATATCAATAGGTGTGGCTAATTATAAATCATGATGGGTAGTAAATACCCTATGGACACTACTTTTAGAAACACTTCATTTTTGTATACTGTGTTATACATGTAAACAGATGGTAATCTGTGAATGGGTATACTCATTTTTCAGAACTTGCCATTTTTCACCCTTTACTACTCCTGGCTTTTATATGTACTGTTTTTTCATTTGCTTGCATAGAAACTTCAGATTCCCTTGTTTATAGTATATTTTGCTCCATTTACCACTTATTATGAACCTCACATAAGAGAATAAAATGTGTCTTATTCACTTCTAGCTCAGAGTCTTGCATACTGAATGAATTCAATTGTTTTAACAAAAAAGTGACCATGGAGGAAGATGATATGACAATTTAAAATATTGCTACTTTCAAGTTTTATACTTTATTTACTCTCATAGGTCCTCAGAGAAGGAAAAAATTTCCTACTTTGTTCCAACAGAGCCAAAGAATTTCAATGAGATGATATCAAGAGGTTATCAGTTTTATTGTTTTTGTTTTCCATCAACAATCAGCCCTTTCTCTAGATTCTCAAGGAATCAGAGAATTGTGAAGAAATACTTCCCTGGTTCTCATTTTATAGTGAAATAGTTTTTAACTTTGTTTATTTATTTTTAAAATTAAGTTTATTGGGGTAGCATTGGTTAATACAATTATATAATTTTCAGGGGTACATTATAATTTGACATCTATATATTCTATTGTGTGTTTATCACCCAAAGTCTGGTTTCCTTCAACTCCCATATATTTAATCCCCTTTACCCACTTTGCCCTCCCCCTACCTCCCTATATTTGAATCTCTTTATTTTGTCTACCTACTCTCTCCTCCCCAACTCCCTACCCTCTGGTAACAACTAGTCTATAGTCCATGTCCATGAGTTTCTCTGTTTGTTTGTCCTGTTCATTTGTTGCTTTTAGGTTTATATCCCACATATAAGTGATATCATGTGATTTTCAATTTTTCTGTCTGGCTTTTTTCACTCAGCATGATTATCTCGATGTCCATCCATATTGTTGCAAATGACAGTATTTCATCTCTTCTTATGCCTGAAAAATATTCCATTGTACATATGTACCACAGCTTCTTTAGCCAATTATCTATCGTAGGGCACTTCGCTTGCTTCCATGTCCTGGCCACCATGAATAATGCTGCTATGAACATCGATGTGCAAATATCTTTTTGGATATGGGTTTTCAAGTCTTTGGGGTAAATACCCAGAGGAGGGATTGCTGGATCATTTGATAGATCAATTCTTAGTTTTTTGAGGAACCTCCATACTGTTTTCCATAGTGACTGTACCAATTTGCAGTCTCATTAGCAGTGTATGAGGGTTCCTTTTCCTCCACATTCTCTCCAGCATTTGTTATTACATGTTCTGTTGCTTATCTATTGTAACAGGTATGAGATGGTATTGCATTGTGGTTTTGTTTTGCATTTCCCTATTAACTAGCGATGTTGAGCATCTTTTCAAATATTTATTGGCCACTTGTATGTCCTCTAGGGAGAAGTGCCTGTTCAGGCTCTCTGCCCATTTTTTGATTGGATCATTTGTTTTTTTGTTGTTATTGAGTTGTATGAGTTCTTTGTATATTTTAGATATTAGGCCCTTATCGGAGGCATTGCTTGCAAGTATATTGTCCTATTGGGATGGTTGTCTCTTTACCTTGTTGATGGTTTCCTTTGCTGAGCAGAAGCTTTAAGTTTATTTTTTAATGTTAAAATTACATGGTTAAATATATGTTAAATAGAAATACATGCATCTAGAACAAAACTTTAAAAATACAAAGGCATATACAGTGAAAGGTGTCCTACTCTCTGTCTCCAGATACCCCATTCTCTTTTTCAAAAGCATTCAGTTACTAGTTTCTCTTTTCTTCTTCAAGAAGCATATAACATATTTATGAACATAAATATATACTTATCTATATAGCCTAAGATACAGAACTCCTTCATCTTGCTTTTTATTTAATGACATATTTGAGGATATTTTTATATCAATAGACATGTACAAATCTTCACTTTTAATAGTTATACAGTATATTTGTCTAATTAGTTCTTAATTAGTGGGAATTTAGATTGTTCCAATCTTTGTTATTAGAAACAATAAATATTCTTGTACATATGACATTATTCTTGTGTGTAAGTGTACTACTCAGATAAATATCTAGGAGTGGAATTGCTGAGTCAAAGGGAAGCCCTTTAAATTTTGATAGTTTTCACAAAATGTCATCCATAAATGCTGTACCAATATATGCTCTACTAGCAAAGGATGTGATACTATTTTTCACAACATAATTTTTTATCTTTGTCAATTTTGCGGGGGGGAAGGGGGTGGTACGGTATTTTTATTTTCTTTGTGTTTTTCTAATTCTGAATAAAATAGAATGTCTTTTCAGATATTTAAAAGCCTGTTTACTTTTGCTGTTTACTTTTTTCACATTTTGGCACCTTTTAAAAATTGTGCTAATGCTATTTTTCTTATTGATCTGAAGATATAGATATGTTATATAATATCTTTGACATTATATATATATATATAATATTGCAATCTTTTGTCTATAGTTGATGCTACCATGACTGATATTCTGAAGAATTGTACTATAAACTCAAGTAGAAGAGTAAAGACAGTTTATTTTTGTTGAAAGGGTACTAGAAAACTTTAGGTTTTGCCCTGTGGTTATAATCTTGAGTAATTTGTAAGGGTGAATACAAATAAAAATAAGAGACTTAATAATCTCTGTTGAAAATAAAGGAAGAGACTTTTCCCTCTTCCTTTAGTTATTTACTTTAGAAAACTTGTAATTAAGTTCTTTGTTTTTGAAATGCATGCAACTCTTTCTGAAAGCTAAATAAGCCTCTTGCCAGCTTTATGACAGAAATGTCCTTCTCAAGGACCTGGAAAATCTGATTGAAATGTAATCATCAAAGTAGATAGTACCTTAATCTCTCAATTTCTGTGGCACAGTAGGAGCCTCACTTTGGTGGCCTAACTTCTAAGCTCCCAAACTACCTCCTGTTGTATAGATGTGTTTATTTTTCCTTTGTATGAGCCAATTAGAAAATACAAATAGCCATCCCAATTACCAGGTGAATCAAGGATGAACTATGTGTGATAAATGATGCTGTCAAGTCTTTTTCATGACTAGTTATTGTTTATCTTGAAAACAGGTATGTAATGGATTGTATTTGCCTGGCTATGTAAAGGGATTAGATTTCTTTTTGTCTTTGCCATCTCTTAGAGGATTGCCTGTGATGCACATATTCCATTGCTTTAATACTTATTTAATATTAAAACTGTTTTATTCTTTTCTATCTTTTGGAAAGGTTTTCTGGGCTGGCAGGAGATTTATTTTTAGTTATATTTTCCCGACAAACTCATCTCAGTTTTTCAGTCTGTACTCTGTCATTTGTAAAATTAGGGAGGTAGAGTACATTTTTGAGATCCCTGATAGCCCTATGAATTCTAGGAAATAATAAAAAAAAACCTACTCTGGTGTATAAAGTTCAAAAACATTATGAATAATTTTCTGAGTGATGCCAGTCAGTCTTTTTAACCAAGAAATTAACAACAAATTAAGACCCTCAAAATCATTAAAACAAAAACACTTATGTTCCCAATAATTTTTTTATAGCACATATCATATCTTTGTTCCTCAGACTATATATTACAGGGTTAATGAGTGGAGTAACTACAGAATAAAACAAAGTCACTATCTTCTGCATTCCAGTTTTATGCTCTGATGTTGGGCTCCCATACATGACCATCACTGAGCCATAGAAAAGAGAAACCACAGCCAGATGGGACCCACAGGTGGAAAAAGCCTTTTTTCGTCCAGCTGCTGAAGGGACCCTCAACACAGCTCGTAGGACCAGAATATAGGACACCATGATGAAAAGAAAGGGAATAAATAAGAGCAGAAAACTTAAGGTGGAGCTAGTTAACTCTATTGCAGGAGCTCTGGTACAGGTGAGGGCCAACAGAGGACCAGGATCACACAGAAAGTGGTCAATGATGGAGCCACAGAAGGACATTTGGGAAATGATGATGATAGGAATCAAGAACCAGAGAAAACCAAGGACCCAGCAACTGACCACGAGATTGGTGCAGAGATATCCAGTCATAAAGGTGGGATAATGTAGAGGCCGGCAGATGGCAAGGTATCGATCAAATGCCATAATAGCTAAGAAAAAGCATTCTGTAGAACCCAACGAGAAGAAAAAGTAGAACTGGAGAAAGCACCCAGAGAAAGAGATGACCTTGGTGTCAGAGAGGAAGTTGGCCAACATGTTGGGGACAGTAGAGGTGACATACCAGATCTCCAGGAAGGAGAAGTTGGCGAGCAGGATGTACATGGGCGTGTGGAGTCTCTGATCCCAGTGCACAGCACAGATGATAGAACCATTGCCCATGAGTGTCAGGAGGTAAACAGCAGAGAAGAGCACAAAGAGGAGGACCTGCCCCTCCCTGGGGCAAAGGAAGCCTAGGAGGATGAAGCTAGTGATGGTGCTGGAGTTGTTGGAGGGGTTCATGGATCTGTGAGCTGTGAAAGGACCAGCAAATTGTTTAATGAATGTGTAGAGATAGATGGGGACCCAGATATGTATTGAAGCTACCATGGGGAATGCAATATTTATTTATCAATCACTGCTATTTTTGTGTAACCCTGAAATACAATCCTTGCTTTATTGTTGGACTGTAAAAACTAGAAGTTAGTGAAGATCAATAGATAAACAGAGATGTTTTCTTAATGCGAAATGTATGTAAACATGTTTAATATATAAATATGTAGCTTATTAAATAATTATGAATAAAACTCAAGAGTAATTAGCATTGAGGTCAAGAAATAGAATATCACTTGCATCCTAGAATCTCCTCTCATGATTCATCCCAATCAGTATCCTCTGCCTCTCTGTTACTCCAGATTATAACATTCTCCTTTCCTTTTGGTAACTATCTCCTTGCTTTTCATTATTTTAGCAACCAAGTATGCAATTCTAAGTATTTAGTTTTGCTTGTGTTTGTACTTTTACGTAAATGAAATCACATTTTATGTAGTACTTTTGGATTACTTCTTTTGTTCAATAGTAAGTTTGTAAAATTCACGTTGTTCTATGTATCTTTAGTTTGTCTAGTTTTACTGCTCTCTATACCTTTGCATTCTATGAATAAATGACTTGTTTAACCATTCTACTATAGATGAATATTTTGGTTATTTCCAGTTTGGGACAATCACGAGGAATGCTACTATAAACATATAGTTTATATTTCTTAGTTCACATGAGCATGCACTTTTTTTAGGCTGTATTATAGGGTGTGTGTCTCTTCAATTTTAGCAGATTAAGTTGAACAGTGTCCCATTGTTATTGGTCTACTTTTCACTCCCAATGACAGTATATGAGAGCTCTGACTGTCAACATCTTTTTCTTATTAAGTTCTGTATTTACCAGAGCCTGAGGAATGACATATAAACTGCATTTTAACAGCTTCTCTCTCTCTCTCTCTCTCTCTCTCTCTCTCTCTCTCTCTCTCTCTCTCTCTCTCTCTCTCTCTCCCTCCCTCCCCAATCTCTCTCTCTCTTTCTCTTTCTCTTTCTTTCTCCTGATTATATCAGACTGGGTAGTTCTCTTCTTGGCAGTAATTTTTTTTTTTTTTTTTAAATTTCAGAGTAGGTAGTTATACCATAACTCTTCTGTTCTCAAGAGGGAGTATTCTGGAAGTGGTGAACTGTCCCCAAACTTGGCGTAGGAGAACATTTTATGCCTGATGCAATTTACAGCCATTTCTGGGAAGTTCATTATCCATCTTTTATGAGCTTGGATATTGTGATCAGCCTTGTGATTTAAATAAGGCGTTTCTTCACCATACTTCCTATTCAACTATATGCCTCTCCCAAGAGAGAATTCTTTGAAGTGTATCAGGAGCATTTTCTGGAGCAGCAAGTTTCAAACAGAACTTGTCATAGGCTCACAAGCAGTTTTTCTGAGAAGCTGTTTTATCAGAAGTGATTTGGAATTAACATAATGCTTCACACTTAGCTTTTAACAAATATTCATAAAATGAATGAATAAATGCACTTTTTTAGTTCTCAGGAAGAGATTATACCCTCACAGTTACTTGTGGGCAAAGCTGACTTAGATTGCGTGGCCAGGGAACAGGAGACCGTTGGGGCTATTGGAATCACTTTTCTCTTTTGAGGTAGTTAACTAACTCATTGATTCTATTTTGTGTTGCAATCTATCAAGTTCAGGAGTAAAACACTCAAATTAATTATAGAAAATAGCTGCTGCTCACTTCTATTAATACAGGTTCTCAGTCATCCAGGGTAGCTACAGCTGAGAAATAGGATCAGCATTAATCCGGTCTTGTCAAAATAGGTCTCTGATGGTCTGGGTTGGAAATATGATGCTGAAAAGGCCATGTAAACTATGGAACCTGATATTATTGATCTAATGTTAAGATACACGCAGCAGAAAACTGGTAAAGAAAACTAAATTTCTACCTCCCAATCACTTCTTTGGAGCACCTCAAGGCATAATGATTTTGGATGGTTATACATTTGCATAATGGCTTTATGTTTTCCTGGGTTAAGAAAACACCGACCTTTGTTAAAAAATCCTCCACCCAGACCGTGGTCTTGGTTACTATAGCCTCTGCGAATAGGGCATAAAAAACATATATTTTCCATTATCTGGAATATAGCATCAATCAATCAATCATAAATTATTTTTGAGAGTTGGCATAGTTACCCAAGGAATCTGTCAATGGTCTCTTTTAAATATTCAATAACAGTAAGATCTCCCTGGATAAATGGCAGAAGGTGTCAGGGGAGAACTGATTGATTACAACGTATTTTTGTTTTGTTTTTGGAGAGAAAAAAAATTTGTGCCAGGGGGCTAGCAAACTGATTAATATTTTGGAACTTATAATGTGTGTACAAAGCTTCTTTCTCTAAGTCAGATCTAGTTCTAGATTTTGTATTTCCATAACATAGGGGACTCATGTGGCCAATAAAATTTCTCAAGATCTTGCTAATTTATGTCTTAACTTATATTATCTCAGGTCTTTTAGTGCCTGAGCTGTGGGATGAACAGGTTCTGGTTCTTGTACCATAAACTTACACTTTCTAAATGCCCTTTCCTCTCTGATTTGAAGAATGTGTAACTAGGGACTGAAATTAAGTTTCAGATACAAAGTATTCTTTTTTTTTTTAAGTGAAATTAAACCAGACATAAAGTATCCAATATATATTTGCATTACTTTAACCAAGTCTCATTCAGGATAAAAACATTCCGAATGTGGTCTTTTCTGAAGCAATAGTTGTTCCAAATTTTCTGTTCTGTGAATGGGGCCATTAACAAATGTTGGAGATATGAGAATACATTAACTAATGAATCGTAGAAGTGACTCAAAAGAAAATTTGCTACAACATATGAAGGTCACTTATGAACTTTAAATCCCATAAAATTAAAAAAAAAATCCTTTTTAGACCTATAGATTTAATATCAACTTAAAGAAAAATTCCTCATTTTTCAATAGTTCAAAATAATTTGTTACTAATTGTGGTTTGGTCATCTTTAATCAAAGTGTTTTACAGGATGTTTCTTTTTCTTTCTTTTTTTTGCAGGATGTTTCTTAAAGGTTATTTTGTGTGACAATCACTTTGTCCATCATCTCAAAACATTCTCAGTATTTTGAATGGTTTAGTTAATGTTCAGAAACTTACTTTTCCTGGTCTAGGCTATTTTAATGTTATATCTCTTCCTTTCTTTTACTCCTCACATCCAACTCATCGGCGAGATGCTTCTGTTTCTAAAATATGACTCATAATACGCAATTTTCTTTGACTTCATTGTCATGACTCAAGTTCAAATTATCATCCTTTCTTCCTGGAACTTCTGCAGCAGCATCCTTAGAGGCACTTCGGCTCTACTTTTGCCCCTCTACCCTCCATTTTCCACACAGCAACAGAGTACTCTTTGAAAATGGAAAAACCAATTGTGTTAGACTTTTGAGTAAAACCATTTCCTCTTAGAAAAATTCTGTATCAGGAAGTCTTACAAAGCTGTTCTGGAAAACAGGAAAGTATTCTAGAAAACATGAATGGCCATCACCATTTTATGCTCAATCTAATATATTTAACCAGACTGTATTTTTACTCACCTTTTATTACTTAGCTCCACTGCGTGGTAGAATTATAATGTTCACCTGCCACAAGTCTGAGCTGGAGCTGTCAAAAAAAAAAAAAAAAGTGTGTGTGGGGTGGGGGGGCTGGTTGAATCATCCTGTATTGACAAGAGACAGAGGGCCTGTGAACATGTGTACAGTGATGTCTGTGTTTATGTACCTGAGCCTCTTGGAGTGAGTTAGTTAACAGCAATCACCCTTCTATGGTTTACTTGTTAAATTAGCCAACCCAGGAAAGGCTGAGATAGTGTGAGGAAGATATTCCCTGATACTGTAATCTTCATCAAAGCTCAGTACAGTAGAAGTCTTGATACGTCTATTTGTTGATCCTTATTCCATAGCCAGTCCAGAGATGTCTCCTGCCAACTTGATTCCCTCCTTTAGCTAGTCTGTATAGTTTCAGTGAGGTGGCTGCTGCATCTGTTACACTGGGTAATCTGTTTCTGGAAAATACTTAAAAGTAAGGATAATTAGATTGGGATAAGTGGTAGGCAGCTGTTGTATAATGGAGAAAGCATTGAATTGAGTAAGAACTTTTTAAAACTAGTCATAGGAAATTAATACTCAGTTTTCTTAGCAATAAAATGGACATAATCATGCCTTCTTTAAAGGGCTGTCATAAAGATTACTGAATGAGATAAATGTCTGTGGAAGTATCTTGACCATTGCCTGACCAGTAAGAGCTTAAGAAATATTGGTTGTATGTGTATGGCGATAGCAAATACAAAACGAGCTGTGGGTAAAAATCTAGTTGGTTATGATTTTTTTACTCTTCCAAACACTATGTAACTTTATTACCTGGATCGACAAATGGAGTTCCAAACTGAATCTTCTCAAAGTTTTCTTTTTTTTTTTTTCCATAGAGGGAAGAGATAGTTTTCTTGGCAATAACCAGAAAGGAGAAAAAATAGGTGGAAACTGTTATGATAAGAATCCTTGATTGTGTTTGCTGAAGGATGGTGGGGTTATAAGCAGAGCCTGCCAAGAAGTAAGCCCTGTTTTTCCTGATCCTTAAGGATCCATTTACTGTTTCTAAACAGTAAACAGTGTCAAGAGACATCTCTCTGCTTGTTATTCACTTCCCTTGGGGCCTGCCTTAATTTCTGTTGTTGCAAGTAGAAATAATATTATGAAACTTATTTTTTTCAGTGCAAGTTGAAGTAATATGTTTTCCATGCTTTAAACCTCTCACAGATAGAATGAAATATTAACAAATCAGTTGATTGTTTGATGAATAATCAACCAATAAGTCTATCTCTAACTCCCTTAAGTGTGCATACCATGTGTCTAACAAAGAATTTTACAAACTTGAAAGAAATAAAAACAGCTTCGGATGTCCATAACT